TTAGTCAAATACTTTAACTGAAATAAATTCAATTAAAGTGAAAAACAGTAGTCTTGATACGTAATAAACGATCAAAACAATGAAATTTACTCAGCGAGGAAAAATACCACTGTCCTTTTTTAAATAGCGCGCGATGAAGGCGAAGAGTTTTCGTTGCAAAATTTTGCTAATAATCCTTAAATATTTGTCCAAGAACTTAATATACATGTGTTTCTCGTTCAGCCTCCAGCGGCGCGACGACAGAACCTGTACGTTAGGTCATGCACTTTTGACGGTAACGTAGTTTTCGTTGCATAGCTTGACTTGGAAGTATGGTGATAGGGATTGCCATAGTACACTACTAATAAGCTGGTTTGTGTTGGTACTTTTCTTATTTATGTAAAAAATAAAGATACTAGATAGGTTGAACCTACCCAATCTTTCTATTTTGGGAAGCCGCGGCTTCTCTATAGCGGCCATAGAAAATTTTGGGGAAATGGTACAAAACCCCCCGAAAATTGGGGGAACCCCAAAGTCGGGAGGTTGGGTACATAATATAAGGACGTATATATATATATATATTTGTGATCCATATGAGGGTTCACTTCAGCCTTTAGAGATTAATCAATTGATCATACTATTGCAATGTTTGTTACATACTTACGCAGTATATTAGTTATTTATACTAATAGTGTAATCACTAGCGTTTGCTTGAGTCTCTGAAAAGCAATTAACCTACTGACTGTCGGCCGTATGAACTTTTTGATTTGACCTATTAAGATCATACTTGGAGCACAATGCAGTAGTTGCTGAACGATATGACCTATTGTTAACAGTTCGTAATTACTGGGTTAGTATGTCTTCTCACTTCACCTATTTGTAGCAGTTAAACTGGAGAAGCCTTAGCTGCCAATAGTATACCAGCTGGTAATAGTTGACTTTCAGTATTGACATTTGTATCTACAAACTTATTTACAATAGGTAACTGGACTGCAGTCTCTTCTGTTTGAATCCAATTTCACCAGTTAATACTTGTTGTTCGTCCTAAAATAACAAATTTCATGCCGTTCATCTTTTTCGTAACGCAAATCCTGTTTCCCACTGATATAAGATTTCAGATTCGTGTAGAAAGGACAGAACACATACGGCCTATGTTATTCTTTTTCTAGTATGCTTCTGTGAGTGTCTAGTCTTCTCTTGAATGAATCAATTGAAGATTCACACAAAACTGCTTCGGGTAACAGGTTCCAAGAATTGGTGGCTTGATGCGAAAACCTGTATGCCACCGGTATTTTGTTCGTTTTTGGCTTTTCTACTTGCCTGCTATGTCCTCTGAGATGCCTCAATTTATTGGAAAATAAGAGAAGATATATTGGGTCCAAAATCAATTCTTAGGATTCCATACATCAAAATCAGATCACCTTTTAATCTGCGAGAGGATAGAGTAAAGAGGTATAGCTTTTCAAACCGCCCTTTGTATGGTAAACCCTGGAGTTCTGGAACTGTACATGTAGCTGCTCTGTGTATTTTTTCCAGGATATCCAAGTCACATCTCAAATAGGGGCTTGCAGCCTGAACGCAATTTTCAAACCTAATTCTTACTAAGGTTGTGTATCCTATAGTGAATATGGTAGTATCTAACTTTGTGAAGTCCGGTTTAAAGCCCATAGGGTTCTAAACCCCTTAACTGCAACCCCCAGCAGTGGGCCGTAGTCTTAAGATCATGACTCACCGTCACGTTAAGATCCTTATGAGGTTGGACCACGTGTACAGGCACTTCCTCTATGTTGTACCTATTTACCTTTATATCCCCGAAGTGTATGTTGGCACACTTGGCCGTGTCGATAGGTATCAACCACTCTCTAGACCAGCTAATCACAATATTTAAGTCTGCCTGAAGTGCGCATGCATCTGCGTCTCCCATTATTTCTCTCCAGATTTTTACATTAGCGTATAACAACATTGGGGACTGTGTGGCGCATATGTATCTGGTGCCCCCTTGTACCAATATGTGTACAAATAAATAAATAAACATTGGAGACTCAACTATACTTGGAAAGTCATTTACATACCTTATTAACACAACATGATGAACACCAAATTCATAGAACTAGTTACTTCAGTGGCAGTAAAATATAAAAGAAAGATTGTGTATAAGGATATTATACAGAAAGAAAGAATTAGTTGGTAACAAGAAAGATATAAAGCAATTTTAGTCTCACAGTTTAAGGGAAAACAGAGAGTGTATACACCGACATTATTGTGATCGGTTCTGATCCATGTCACCCAGAGTCTCCGACCATTGGTCACGATAGTCACGCGGATCCCAACCGAGTAGTCTGCATCCACCAGCGTGGCTCAGACTAGAAGTTAGTGACTTCAGACACTGATGCCACGTTTTGGTTTGGCCGCCCCTAACATCCTTCCAGCCATCTCCAACACTTGTTAGGATTGCGTGTCGTGGTAATCGGTGTTCAGGCATACGTAACACGTCGCCCAAATATCTCAGTCAGTGAAGGTTTACAACCTCATCAACTGATTTACCACCACTCCTTAATATCCTCACTATTACTTGCCCGCTGATCCCAGCATATGCGAGCAATATTTCTAAGACATTTGTGATCAAACACTAGCAATTTACGAGTATCTTCTACTCTTGGTGGCCACGTTTCGCAGCCGTAAAGTAGAATAGAACGAACTGCTGCACAGTGTACTCGTCTATTAATTGATGGACGGATGTCTCGCCTTCCTCATAGGTGACGTAAGTTCGCAAAAACCAAACCAGCTTTCTGAATCCGCTCAGAGATTTCTTCGGACACCAACCCATTAGGGTTGATAAGACTTCCAGGATAAGTGAAGTTGTCAACGCGTTGGACTACTTCAGTCCCTATCGTTAGTTCAGTTGTTGACGCAGGCTAGTGCTGGAGCAACAATTTGCTTATAGATGGGGAGAAACACATCCCAAACATCCTGGTATTGTTGTTGCATTGTTACATACAGTATAAAAAGTAAAGGGCGTAGAACAGAACCTTGCGGTACTCCAATAAGTACTGATCTTCAAGTGGAGCACTTGGAATTTACTCCTACTTTCTGTCTACGACCTACCAGGAAATCCTTAAGCCATTTAAGGAGAGGTCTAGCAGTCCCTAGATTTTCCAGCTTCAAGAGCAGTCTATTTTTTGGCACCTTATGCTTTGCTGAAGTCTATGTAGACAGTATTCACTGATTTTCCATTGTTTAAAGCCTTTATCCATTGCTCCCTTGCTACAAAGAGATTTGTTGTGCAAGATAATCTTTTCTGGAACCATATTGTTTGCTGTTTACCAAGTTGTTGGCTCCCACGAGTGTTATTATGATCTTTTTGACTATTCTTTTCAATATTTAACCACAACACTGGCGAGGCTGACAGGTCTGTAGTTCGACGAAAGCTGTCCTGCTTTGTGTATTGGAGTGACGATTGTACCCTTCTAGACCGTAGGTAACACACCTTGGTCAAGTGACATATTGAATATCACAGTTAGTGGGGCTGCAATATATTGTGTAATTTTTCTCAGGATTTTGGGTGTAGTTCATTTAGTCCCGTTGACTTTCCGTGCTAAGAGCCTTAAGTACATCGTTTTGATCAAAGTCCACGTTGGGCAGACGGTTTGTTGACTTTGTATTTGGGTCTAGTTCTTTGTCTAGAAGGGGCTCCTGAGTGAAAGCTGTCCCGAAATAGTTTGCCATAGCCTCTGCATTTTGCTGATCATCTATCATCTAAGATCCGCTCTCTTAATTAGTTGGGAATCGAATACTGCATCCGTGTTCTGTAATTTATGTGCGATAATGGTCTCTCAGGCTGCTTGATTGCAGATTGTGCCAACTGCATTTCATATTTTCTCTGAGCCTCCCGGATTTTAATTATACACTTATTTCTTACCGACCTGTAGCGTTCCATAGCACTTGCTGTGTTAAGGTTGATGGCAACTTCCAACCAGTGGAGCTAATCCTTGTCGGGTAGAGACAGTTATCTACTTAAAGACAATGGAAGTGGGTCGCGCAATTTCGTGGATTGGTTGATGTTAGAAACTATCACCATTGGATGCCGGCTCAGTGGTCCAGTTGGTTAAGCGTTCGCGCGCGAGACCGAAGGCCCTGGGTTCGAATCCCGCTCGCGGGATCGTGGATGCGCACTGCTGAGGAGTCCCACAATAGGACGAAACGGCCGTCCAGTGCTTCCAGGTTTTCAATTGTGATGGTCTAACATCAATTGGTTCAAGATCTCAATTAAAACTTAATAGTCTCCACAACCCCATACTAGTAATCAACATGTGCTCACTAGTGACTAGCTTCGTGAGGGAATTCTCGGAGTTCTAGTGAAAAGCCGTGACCAGTGGAGCTAATCCTTGTCGGGTAGAGACAGTTATCTACTTAAAGACAATGGAAGTGGGTCGCGCAATTTCGTGGATTGGTTGATGTTAGAAACTATCACCATTGGATGCCGGCTCAGTGGTCCAGTTGGTTAAGCGTTCGCGCGCGAGACCGAAGGCCCTGGGTTCGAATCCCGCTCGCGGGATCGTGGATGCGCACTGCTGAGGAGTCCCACAATAGGACGAAACGGCCGTCCAGTGCTTCCAGGTTCTCAATTGTGATGGTCTAACATCAATTGGTTCAAGATCTCAATTAAAAAATTTCTTCTTTTGTCTTAGTAAACATTGAATATCCCGACCTATCCAAGGATGGCCGTGTTTCTTCTTCTTTGGGACTGTCCAGGGTATATATGGTTGAGTTACCAGATTTTGTAACTGCCTGAAATGAGTCCATGCCTCTTCTACTGATGCCCGCTTGTGCTTTCTGTCGTAATTCGGGACCTAAATTCATTCACTTGACTACATCACAAACCACTTTTTTATGTTACTTCCTTATTATTAGGTAGTTGCTTATTTGGTGGGTTACCTTGTATTCACTGTATATTCTCAACCGGCGTTTCTGTGAAAAGTCGCTTGCTGCTTCTTAAAACGGGTCGTTTGTAAAGGAAAAATATGCCATCTGAGGATAAAAAGAAAAAGGCTCAAGCGAAGAAAGATGCAGTCAAAAAGCGAAATCAGAAGCAAACGCGGTCAGTATCAACGGTGTTAGATAACGAGAGTGATGTAAAGACTGATAAGGAAACCAATTCTACTTCGCAAAATGGGTTATTGTCTCAGTCTTCGAATCACAATCAGATACGTGATGATGACTTCGTGGGTAAGTTCGTTTAGTAATGCTTGAGTCCTAGTATGTTAAGTCATTGTTTTTCCAAGACAATAATTTATGATGCAGTAAACTAGGATCCATTTACGTTTGCGTCGTACTAGCACGATTGGATGTCAACTTCTATACTTTAATCGCTTGATGATCATTTCTGTGTTCAGTTACCTGGTCATTCTTTTTGATGTGCCGAATTGATAGTCCTAGAAAATTACAATCTAACATTCTAAGCCGCGGACTCAATAATTACTTTTAATTAATAACCCTCTGCTTATCAGATCACCTCGCAGGATTATGTGAGACATCATATAGTACGAAGTGACATAAAACGCCAGGTTTTAGTGACTAGTTAACGTACTCATCAAATCGTCCCTTCATTTAATTAATATCATTCTTTAATGTTTAGTTTTATTGTCATCACTATTACGGTTACTTTGACTCGTTTGTTATCTATCTCGTTAGTTTCATCGCACTGTGCTAATATAATATGACTTCTATTAACTTACATTTGTGCCACACTATTTTACTAACGACTGTTTCACTTTCTACATCTAATTTGGCGTTTTGGAGGCCAGAAGACTTTTGGAAGAACTAATCCTGGATTTTACCTTAGCTTCAGTTGTTGGGATTGGAAATAAAGCATTTTTATTTGACCATAATTTGCCACGGAAACGACCCGGGAGTTTCGACATTGCATATTCCAAAAGATTGGACCACTAACAGACTGAATACACCCTAAATGATCCATATATGCACCTGCCATTTAGTTTAATTAATATGGGTTACTAAATTTGAAATCAAGAATTAAATCAAAATACACAAAATGACTAGTCGGTAGATGATGCACATATGCATTCATTCGTTTACTTCTGGATCGCGAATTTCCAAACTATTTTCTACCTCTTATTCCGTGAATTCATCCTCGGATCATCTGCTCTATCTTATATTTCTTACTATCACTGATACCACTACTACTGTTACTATATTGACTAATGAATCCTCGTGTATATGGATTTATTTTCGGAATTTTTATTTAGGTAGTGACGATGAAAATAAGGAAGTACATCAGGCGTTGGTTGAAACCTTGGAATGCTTGGATCTTGTTAGTGAACGTGTTGCCGCTTATCGGTCCGTTACTGGAGTCCTAGCTTCTCATCCTGAGGCTAGAGATGTGCAGTTTTCAAATTTAAGTATCACTTTTCATGGAAAAGCTTTATTAGCTGATACTCGTTTGGAATTAAACAATGGTCGAAGGTCTGTTATTTGGTTTACTATTGCCTTGTGTTATGGTTCATCTGCTTACATAATCTTTCCTAAACATGTTTGATTTTAAGGGTCTTTATGAACCTATCTAGTCTTATAAGGAAACGGAGATACTAGTAAATACAAATACTCCATCTAAGTCTAACAAGTGATTTCTGAGATTGCCAAACCATGCATTTTAGAAATCTAGGTTCTGAACCCATTCGATCTGGTCCTTTGGGTGGTATCTTAATTTAGTTAAGAAATCTGTCACTTTTTCTCTACTCATAATAGCCCTGTGCTTATATTCGCTAAATTTTCATGTATGGTCAAATGAATCGCTATGGAGCAGTAAAAGGTCGTTTCAGATGTGACAGTTAATTAAAACTGTTAGAAAGGCTGTCCCAACTAGTTTTCTTTGTACACATACTTTTTTTTCGATTTATGTCTCTAATACAAAATTAGTTAGGAAAATAAGTATATGAATCTTAGCTTGATTTATCGTCGAAATAGGTGCCACATTACTAAGTTATATGTCACCAGTCATCATTCAGGTAGGAGCTAGTATTCACTTTGAGTCATGTGCCATAGCACATCAACAGGAGTAATGTTCAAGGATTGGAATTAATTTGACTAATAGAAATCTGAAATTATCGTCAAAAAAGAACAAATGAAACTGAATATTATTATATCCTTCCACATCGATATTATTGGCTTTTGTATGGTTTTATTTTCTCATGGTTCACCTTTTCTTACTTGTTGCTACACCTTGTAAAATACAATATATATGATGCTTACCGATTTACATTACATTTACGCCTGTTACTCCTCGTGAAGGAACATAGGCCACTCACCAGCATTCGCCATCCAACCCTGTCCTGGGCAATCCTTTCCAGCTCCTTCCAGTTGTTATTCATCCTTTCCATATCTGCTTTTATTTCCCGACGTAATGTGTTCTTTGGCCTTCCTCTTTTCCGCTTCCCTTCAGGATTCCAAGTTAGGGCTTGCCTCGTGATGCAGTTTGACGATTTGCGTAATGTATGTCCTATCCATTTCCATCGTCTTTTCCTAATTTCTTCTTCAGCTGGAAGCTGGTTTGTTCTCTCCCACAGAAGGCTATTGCTGATGGTATCCGGCCAATGGATGTTGAGTATCTTGCGTAGACAGCTATTTATAAATACTTGTACTTTCTTGATTGTGGTTGTTGTAGTTCTCCAAGTTTCAGCTCCATACAGTAGAACTGCCTTGACGTTCGTATTGAAGATTCTCACTTTGATATTGGTTGAAAGTTGTTTTGAGTTCCATATGTTCTTCAATTGTAGGAATGCGACCCTTGCTTTGCCGATCCTCGCCTTTACGTCTGCATCTGAACCTCCTTGTTCATCGATGATGCTTCCTAGGTATGTGAAGGACTCTACATCTTCCAGAGTTTCGCCATCAAGAGTGATTGGATTGCTGTTTTCCGCTTTGAATTTGAGGACCTTGGTTTTCCCTTTGTGTATGCTGAGGCCTACTGATGCAGAGACTGCTGCTACACTGGCTGTCTTCATCTGCATCTGTTCGTGTGTACGTGATAGGAGGGCTAGGTCATCTGCGAAGTCCAAATCGTCTAATTGATTCTGAGCTGTCCATTGTATTCCGTGTTTTTCTTCAGATGTCGAGGTCTTCATAATCCAGTCGACCACCAGAAGAAAGAGGAAGGGAGAGAGTAAACAGCCTTGTCTGACTCCGGTCCTTACTTGGAATGCATCTGTCAGCTGTCCTCCATGCACTACTTTGCACTGTAGTCCGTCGTATGAGTTCCGGATAATGTTGACAATCTTCTCAGGAACTCCGTAGTGTCGAAGAAGTTTCCATAATGTCCTCCTATCTACACTGTCGAATGCCTTTTCATAATCAATGAAGTTGATGTATAGTGATGAGTTCCACTCAACTGATTGTTCGACGATGATCCGTAGTGTTGCAATTTGGTCTGTGCACGACCGATCCTTACGGAATCCAGCTTGTTGATCTCGAAGTTGGGCGTCTACTGCATCCTTCATCCGGTTCAGCAACACTCTGTTGAAGACTTTCCCTGGTATTGACAGTAGTGTAATGCCTCTGTAGTTTTCACATTTGCTCAGATCTCCTTTCTTTGGAATCTTGACGAGGTGTCCTTCTTTCCAGTCCATCGGCACTTGTTCCTCCTCCCAAATCTTTTTGAATAGAAGGTAAAGCATGCTTGTGGTTGCTTCGATGTCTGATTTCAGTGCTTCAGCTGGTATGTTGTCGGGTCCTGCTGCTTTCCCGTTCTTGATTTGTCTGACGGCCATTCTAATTTCTTCCGTCGTTGGTGGGTTGACATCTATAGGAAGATCTATGTGTGCTGCTTCGATGTCCGGTGGATTCATTGGAGCCGGCCTATTCAGGAGTTCCTCGAAGTATTCTACCCATCTGTTACGCTGTTGTTGAATTTCGGTGATTGGCTTGCCTTCTTTGTCTTTGACCGGCCTCTCTGGTTTACTGTATTTCCCTGCTAGTTTCTTCGTTGTATCGTAAAGCTGTTTCATATTTCCTTCTCTAGCAGCTTTTTCTGCCGTCGTTGCTAGTTCTTCCACGTATTTCTTCTTGTCGGCTCTAATGCTCCTCTTCACTTGTTTGTTTGCTTCTATGTATTCAGCTTGTGCTTGGACTTTCTCTGCTCGTGTTCGGCTGTTGTTAATTGCTGCCTTCTTGTTCTTCCTTTCTTTGATCTTGTCCAGTGTTTCTATAGAGATCCATTCCTTATGATGGTGTTTCTTTAGGCCCAGAACCTCTTGACACGTTGAAGTTAATGCTTCCTTGATGCCTTTCCAGTTGTCCTCCATACTAGTTTCTTCTTCTTTCAGTAGATCTTGTAAGGCTTGGAACCTGTTGTTGAGAGCTATCTTGAATTCATTGAGTTTGTCAGTATCTCGAAGGAAGGCTGTATTGAACCTTTGTAGTGCTGTTTGTCCACTTGTCCAGTTCTTCTTTAGCTTCAGTTTTAAATTGGCTACAACTAGGTGGTGATCTGAAGCTACGTCAGCACCTCTCCTGGTTCTCACATCTTCCATTGTCCTTCGGAATTTTTTGTTGATGCAAATATGATCTATTTGGTTCTCTGTAGTGTGGTCCGGTGAGATCCATGTAGCCTTGTGTATACGCTTGTGTGGAAATATTGTGTTGCCTATGACCAATTTGTTGAATGCACACATATTTGCAAATCTTTCTCCATTTTCGTTTCTCTCCCAGTCCATGTCGTCCCATGATATCTTCATATCCAGTGTTGTCTATTCCGACTTTGGCATTTAGATCTCCCATCAGAATAGTTAGGTCCTTTCTTGAGCATTTCTCAATGATTGACTGCAGCCGCTCGTAGAACTGATCTTTAATGTCGTCGTTGCTATCATTGGTGGGTGCATAACATTGGATAATATTCATTAAGATCCCCTCCTTCTTTGTTTTGAATGATGCTTTGATGATTCTGGATCCGTGAGACTCCCATCCTACAAGTGCATTTCGTGCTACTTTGGACAGCATAAGAGCGACTCCCTGAGTGTGTGGAGCATTTTCCTCTTCGTGACCGGAGTATAGCAGCATCTCTCCCGTAGCTAGCCTTTTCTGTCCAGCTTGGGTCCAGTGGGTTTCGCTGATTCCCAGTACTGCTAAGTTGTATCTCCTCATTTCCATTGCTATTTGACTGGTCTTCCCGGTTTCCCACATTGTTCGGACGTTCCATGTACCTATAAAAATTTTTCTCTGGTTGTTAGAAGGGGCATCGGCCTCGTGGCTTCCGAAGGAACTCGGCTTTCACCATGAAGCGTCATAATTCTTCTAACTGAAGACCTTCTAACTCCCAGGGCAGAGTTTAAATGGTTTGAATTATTTTTTCTGGTAAGCGTTTTTTTAGCGAGTTAGTTTTCTACGGGATGGGGACGCTAACCCCATACCCAACCCTCCTTTACCCGGGCTTGGGACCGGCAGTAACTCTGGAAGAGCTACAGGCGGTGTGGCGGAGCGGTCTAAGGCGCCAGAATCAAGAGTGTTCTTACCGATTTAATAGTGTAATAAATAAATACGAAGTCCCTGCTCTCTTACTTAAATACGTCGTTGTCTATAATGATTCCATTCTATATTTGGTCGCGTAGATCCGCTCCCATATTGTCGAATTATATGGGACGACAATGAATTGGACAACGCCTCTGCGGCTAAATTTGTACCATATCACGCACCATTTCCAACCATGGTTTACAGATAATATTGTATAGGAAAGAGACTTCAAAAACAAACTATTTCAACGCGTAAATGCACATAATAATAGTAATTGACGTTCTTCCGATTCAAAAAGAAATAAACAAAAGTATCAGTTTTTCATGATTAAGCGAAATATTTATTGTAGATTATTTATTTTATTTATTTGAACACATAAATATTGGTACAAGAGGGCACCAAATATATATGCGCCACACCATATTTGTGTTTGGGCTGTGATACTGCCGGGTGCCCAGACCGAAGCAGGTGGTTTTCTTAGGGGGGCACACCCCGAGCCTTTGACCTAAAGGTCTGATCCACAAGGCAGTGGAGCATCGTGAGGAAATGCATTCCCATGGTAGCCGGTGACCAACGATTGGTTCATACCCCATTTGTTCCTTCAGGATACTGGAGCCCATGTGCACCATTGGTTTGGGATCTGGTTAAAGCGCCAGACATTCGCTTTTCATCCTCTCATTTTCGTAAACAACACCCCCGCCACGAGAAGGCAGTGAGTAGGACTTCCCTGGTAGAGGCTGTATACGCGTGGCCGTGTGAGAGCATTTCGAGAGGGAGGGAGGGCCCACCCCACTCTCTGCCATACCAGGGCATTTGGGGGCATGTATTGTAGATATCATCTATAAAACAGATCTCACATGTATCTTACTAACTTCTGGTTTAGATGTACTGTGCACTGATTTCTTTAAATTACTGTCATGTATTGCCAAAAGCGATCGTTATGCTTAGTCTTGGAGTTATTTTTAATGGTGTCCATTTTTGGGATTCCATTTATTGAATTTATGGGAGCCAATTAAACGATCTTTAAGTCACATAAAACTTTGTGGTTGAAATCTATAAGACTAATAAAACGTTATTTACATGTTTAAATGTAAATCCCGTATGTATTGTATTTCAGATATGGATTGATTGGCTCAAATGGTTGTGGCAAATCTACTCTTCTCGCTGTAATAGCCAATGGAGAACTTCCTGTACCACCTCACATTGATATTTTTCTGTTGCAACGTGAAATGGCACCAACAAACAAAACTGCATTGGAGTGTGTAATGGAAGTTGACGAAGAACGTGTACGTTTAGAACAAGAAGCTGCACAATTGGCATTAGATGATGATCCTGGTAACACTAATAGATCTCTGTTTAATTCATCCTAATTCGATGTTTTTGCTTTTAAGTCATTCGTCTTTTTCCGGTTCACTTTTTCTGTAAATAGACCTAAAGAACATAGTAATGTCACAAAAAAAATAATATTTTTTGAGTAGACACTCGTATGTCAGTCAATGAATATTAACTAGAAAGTTCAAAGAATAACTGTTTATATTGCTGGAAATTACCACGATAATTACACGAAAAAACTAGTAAAACCGATGAAATACAAATTTATTATTCAACTGTGCATTATACAAAGTATTTATGCATTTCGTAATTCGTACTCAACTCTCAACTCTTGTCAAACATTTTTCATCATAAACTAGTATAGTTCATATAATCTAAATGAGTAGTATCGGTCTAATATGATTCAAAAAGCCTACTTTTTATGAGTAATATGTAAATTCATTCTGGTATTGAGTTTGCATTGCTCACATATCTCTGTTACTAGAATATTATGTGGTGTAATAAATCATATGTATTTTATAAACGTGAGGTAAGGTAAGTTTTTCTTTACGAAATGTTTCTTTGGTTTATACAGTAACGACTATTTCAGGCTGGTAATTGTTCTCATTATATGCGAAAATCAACGCTTGCTTACATTATTTTTTCAAATCTCACAATTTTAGAAACACATGAACGTTTACTAGAGGTTTATCAACGCTTAGACCATTTAGATGCGGATAAAGCTGAAGCAAAAGCAGCCGAACTTCTTCATGGTTTAGGATTTACCGCCGAAATGCAAAAGAAAGAAGTAAGACTTAAAGTGAATTGAATCGTTCGTGAATTCTGTGAAACCCAATCATTTTATAACTCAATAGTTGATTTTATATAAACCTTTTTCCCATAGGTTCGTCATTTTAGTGGTGGTTGGCGAATGAGAATCGCTTTAGCCCGAGCTTTATTCGTTCGTCCTGCATTACTGCTACTGGATGAACCAACAAATCATTTGGATTTGAATGCATGCGTTTGGTTAGAACGTCAACTAGTCAATTATCCACGGTGTTTAGTTATAATATCACATTCACAAGATTTTTTGAATGGCGTTTGTAACCACATTATTCTGATGAACAAGCAGAAATTGACCTATTTCGGTGTAAGTTCGTTTTTTCTCTAATTATGTAGTATAATTATGGATTTATTTGAACTTCGTTTTACTCATGGTATTTTAACTCCGTGATGTTTATATATATTCATTTATGGGAGTATTGATCACAAGTAGGAATATATACCACCGTTTTATCTAAACAAACACTCATATACTCTTATTTGATACTTTATGTACATAACCCAAAATTCCATCTAGGTAGTTTTATTTTAGGTGCACGTATATATATATTCTTGTGTTATGTACATAAGTACTCATTCACCGGGTTGCAAAGGGTTTCTAAACCATTGGTCGGTACTTAAATCGGTCAAATGATTTTTTAAAGCTGGCTTAATTTATAATTTACATAGTAATGTAAGCATAATTAATAAATCGTACAATCGTTTACTGAAATTGTTCTATCTTTCCATGAATTTTGTCAAATAAAAAATGTCTCGCTTTTTTATGTTGGTGATGTCAACAGTAGGGGAATGTTTTTTCCGAAAGGGTTTATGTTGATTATAAGCCTTAGCAATTTGCTTGGACGACCTGTGCTAACTATGGCTGAAAGATTATTATATGGTTCTCATCAAACTATATGATTTGTTGAGAATTGTATATATGTGAGGATATCTGGTAGATATCCCCTATACGTAAGCTTTTCTACTACTACTGATACTGTTACGACTACTACTACTATTCTTAGATTTGCCTAGAAATAATTTCGTTTCGTTATGCTAATGTAGTATGACACCCTGAAACGATCTACGTGTCAGGTTCTACGTTGTTTATAACTGACGCTACTGAATAACACGTCATGCCTATTACTCCAATTTATATAAGTAGCTGAAATATTTATTAAGTATTTTTATTATTAAATTTTTTTATTCAGGGTAACTACGATCAGTATGTACGCACTAGGTGCGAGTTGGAGGAAAATCAAATGAAGCGGTTCAAATGGGAACAAGATCAGATTGCTTCAATGAAGGTAAGTTAACATATCAAGTCAAGAATTTTCAAATTCAACCACACTTTCATTGCTTTCTTTAATCGTCGGTTAGAGACTTCAGTTTTAGGTCTAGAGAACTGCGTAGTTAAAAAGCTTAATGGTATTTTCCTTTAACCTCTATTAACTTCTAGGATTACATAGCTAGATTTGGACATGGAAACAAAAAAATGGCACGTCAGGCACAGAGCAAAGAGAAAGTTTTACAGAAAATGGTAGCTGGCGGTTTAGCTGAACGTGTTGAGGGAGATAAGACTCTGACATTCTACTTCCCTGACCCTGGAAAAATACCACCACCTGTTATTCAAGTTCACCAAGTTAGCTTTCGATATGGACCAGATAAGGTAAGACTAATTATTATTCTAGTGACTTTTAGCTGATGTTAGTATTTCTTACGTAATGCATTTGCTATTAAACAGTAACATATAACTTATTCAACCATATGACTGATGATTATAATTCCCACAAAAATACTGTTTAAGAATATTGTGGTCCTTTACTATTCGTCTGTGTACTTCTCTGAAACCTGATTATAAATTGTCGACCTACAAATTATACCTCTTTGTGGTTCATTGTTTAGTCATGGACGTGAGATTAGTGAATAATTTATCAGTGTACCCGCTACTTAATTGGCTGCTGACAATTTCGAGCACCATAAATGATACTGCTTTTTTTTTACCGAGACTCCTCGACAATTTATAGTAATATATCATTCTGTAAAATGACCGTATAAAGTAGAAAAAGTACCATAAATGTTTTGCTTGATCTACTTTACATATAAAGTATATTTATTGTTTAAACTTCTTCAGTAATACTAAGACATCTACTCTTTGTCTCCATTCAAATTTTGAACTTAGTATTGTTCCAGAGTTCAATTTCCTATGAACCTTTTGAAGTGCTTAGTTTACCGCTACTTCAGTTTAGGTTTGATTCCTGACTTTCCTGTCTCTATATTAAAACTATTTTCGCAATCTGGATCGTTAGTCTTTGTATCGAGTCACAAGTTTATTATGTTATCTACTTAAAGTGTCTTCATTCTATATCTCTGGTTAGTATTTGTTTATAAGTTCTCTTTATAACAAAAATGAGCTACCATTTATTCAGCTTAGTCCAACCCCTTCCCAGCCTATCATAACAATTTACGATGAAAACACAAATCCACAAAATTAAGAATAGGTGGGCACAAATGCTATTACGATTTAGACTTGAATACGTACACTGGAATATAGGAGAGTCTGGTTATTCAATAAGTGATTCTTTGGGTCTGTTTCAATCATGGAGTATTTTGTAGCATCTACTGTAACGATGCTCACTAATGGACATGAATAATAAAATGAAACCTTAAGACTCGTATGTACAAATGGGATTTAATTAATGATGTGAACAACATATATAAATATAATATTTGGTCTTAAATGAAATGGTTTATAGTGCAACAAGTACTTATATTTTTATAAGTATACGTGAGACTAACTTTTTTTTAGTCAGTTAAGAAATAATAAACGTTTCACATTTTAATACTTTCCTTCTCACCTACAATATCATCGATAGATGATGGGATTAATTAAAGCAACAGTTTAAACATGAATGTGTTCTATTTTCAGACTATGATGTTTACTTCAACCTGTATTATATCCTTATGTGCAATATTTCTTTTATATTTTATTACCATTGAAGTAACTACTTATATGTATTTGGTGTTCATCTTGTTGTGTTAATGAGGTATGGCAACTTGGACCGATACATATATGTACCTAGTCCTACATTGTAGCTGACTGACTGACTTCAACCTGACAAGTAAATAATCATAGCGTAAAATATTGATGGTTGTCTATCACTCTATAAATATACCGACGTTTTCCCCTATTGTGCTTCCTACTGGCTTCTGACTTGCTATTTGGAATATAATCTTTTTTCTGTTCAACCGTGTTCTGATTTGGGGACTTGTCGAGTGAATCGGTGTCCGAGAATACTAAACAATAGGAACAGCTGGGTCGTTAACCGTAAGAAGAAAGAGAATTATAACACACTCAAAAACACATGTTAGTGAGGACTGTAACGTTATTGTTTGATCAATCGAATAATTTAATATCTTTTAGTTAAATATTTTAAAATAACTAAAAGGAAATTGTGGTTATACCAATTACTGTGTAAAATGACTTGTTTTCATTAATAATTCTTCCAGTTAAAATTTTTTTATTCAATTACCACTAACACTTCCGATTAAAATAAAGTGGTTATAGTTTAATTATTTTAACACAAATTGAATCACCAAGTGTTTCGTAAACGTTTGAATTCATTTCAACGGTATCTGTATGTTTATTCATCTGTAACAGCTGGACAAGGTGTAAGACCTTATCACAATATATACGCATCCAAGTTAAATGGATGAACTAGATCAGAATAGTTTCTCGGCTATATGTGTTAAGTTATATTTTATTTTAAAGCTTAGATCTGTTCTCAACCTTGAAAGTTGTGTTTTGTAGCCTTGGATTTATCGTAACATTGATTTGGCCATCGATTTAGATCGTCGCGTTGCTTTAGTCGGCCCGAATGGTGCAGGAAAATCAACTTTGTTGAAGTTAGTCGCTGCTGAGGTAGGCATTATAGTTAATCTTTTTAGATACTTATTTACACTATACTACCACATTTATTTTGAACTGTGAATAAATCATCATAGTACTTTAACAGATATTGCGTGCTTCCTGAGTAAATTTATTTTGTGCTTAATTCATTACAGTTGGATCCAACTGATGGTCTTGTTCGCCGACATTCACATGTTCGTATGGGTCGTTATCATCAGGTGGGAGGCTATTCATTTTTACCTTACCTTTAGTTAAAAGTGAAAATATGTTTTAGAAAGCATAATTAGCATACTTTAAAATTGTTAATATTTCATTGCTTTTCGTAGCATCTACACGAAATGTTAGATATTAATATGAGTCCAGTCGATTGGATGATGCAATGCTATCCGGAAATTAAAGAACGTGATGATATGAGAAAATTACTTGGACGTTACGGTTTGTCAGGGCCTCAACAAGTTAGTTGTTTATTTAAACGTATTAATTTTTGTTAAATATTTCCACTTGTAAGGATTTATTTGGTTGGGTGGATTTATGCTTTGAAATTGTAAACATTTTTTCTTGAAATCAATATCTTAATTTGTTTCTTTCCAACAGAATACATGTTGACTAATTTTGTGTCCGAATTATGATTATTATGCAAATAAATAACATCAATTTTTTAAAGCTAGTAGCCTATTATTAGTTGGCTTGCCAACTTATCAAACTTCACGCTCATTTTATACTTTGAATTTATGTTTTTCATTGATTTTAAAGCATAAAATCATATTTTACAGGTGTGGTGTGTGGTACATATTCACTGTTTCGGTATGCTATTTTTTCCAGACTATTTATTTAGCTTTATTTTGATATTGTGTCAGATCTCATAACAGAAGTAAAGCTAGTATTCCCTCCAGCTTAGAAATAGAACGAATTTAAATAAACATACTTAGGTTATCTAGGCATGAAAACAAATTAGTACTTTTGTAAAGTTCCCATAACTTCAAACTAATAGTATTTAAATATTATTTTCTGGGTGTTTAACAGAATATTATTATTATCTAAACACATAAACATTGTTACAAGGAGGCACTAAACAGATATGCGCCACATAAATCATTCGATTTGTGTGAGGGCTAGAATACTTCCCGGGTGCTCAAATCGAAGCAGGGTTAAACAGAATAACTACCATACTATAATCATATAGAGTTTTTGTTTATTATAAGTGAACTGTACCAAAGATGAATGTTCTGCTGTACTATAATATATATATATATATATATATATATATATATATATATATATATATATATATATATATACATGCATACTGCTAAAAAATTCTCTCTTAAAGCATCAGTCTAACTTAAACAAGGTTAATTAAATTTAACTAGGTATAGTAAATAAGATTTATTCGCTTTTTCATTAAGCAATAATGTGACTGATTCCTATGATTGTAATATCAACTATCGTACACAGGTTTATCAGTAATTTTGTTACTTATATGGCATGGCACTTTGGAGTAACATACATTTGTATGTTATTGTATGTATATTGGTTTTATAACATGAGTGACCAAGTGACCATTTTCTGTTGTAATTTTTGTCAATACCTCATGTTACCTATTTACAAAACTTCTGTATAATTTCAGGTATGCCCTATTCGTACATTATCTGATGGACAAAGATGTCGGATTATATTTGCGTGGCTTGCTCAAAAAGCTCCTCATCTTTTGCTACTTGACGAGCCTACAAATCATTTAGATATTGAAACAATAGACTCACTAGCTGAAGCTATCGATAATTTCGAAGGTGGTCTACTACTTGTTAGCCATGACTTTAGGCTAATATCTCAGGTATGTTTTCGAGTTTCCTTTCCGTTTTGAAACTTCATGCTAGCTTTGACTACATTCCGTATATTAAATGTAGTTACTTACTTACGCCTGCTACTCCCAATGGAGCATAGGTCACCAACCAGCATTCTCCAACCCATCAGATCCACCGTGTTAATTAATGATACTGCCCAAATATGTAAAGGTTTTTACATCTCCCAAATCGTCTCCGTCAATTGTGATTGGATTGGTGCATGCTGTGTTGTATCGGAGAATCTTGCTTTTCCCTTTGTGTATATTGAGAGCTACTGCTGCTCCACTGGTCTTCTTCTCCTGCATTTGTTGTTGCGTGTGCGATAGAAGGGCCAGATCATCTGCGAAGTCTAGATCGTCTAGCTGCATTCTAGATGTCCACTGTATCCCATGCTTCCCCTCAGATGTTGACGTATTCATGATCCAGTCGATCATCAGGAGAAAGAGAAAGAGTGAGAGTAAACAACCTTGCATATCACCGGTCTTCACCTCGAACGAGTCTGTCAATTGTTCTCCATGCACGATTTTGCAGCTTAATCTATCATAGGAATTCTGTATGATATTGACTATCTTCTGAGGCATGTCATAGTGTCGAAGAAGCTTCCATAGTGTTGTCCTGTACACACTGTCAAGTGCTTTTTCGTAGTCAATGAAGTTGATGTAGAGTGAGGAATTCCATTCAATTGATTGTTCCACACTGATCCGTAGAGTTGCGATTTGATTTGTTCACAATCGATCCTTACGGAACCCAGCCTGTTGGTCTCGAATTTGGGCGTCTACGGAGTCCTTCATTCTGTTTAACAATACCCTGTCGAAGACTTTTCCCGGTATTGAGAGAAGAGTGATGCCCCTGTAGTTATCACACTGGCTGAGATCGCCTTTCTTTGGTATTTTGGTCAGAAGTCCTTCTTTCCATTCTGTTGGTACTTGTTCTTTATCTCAATATTAAATGTATTAATGTAACTTATTTCCAAAGCGTACTTTTATATACTTGACTATGGGGCCGTAATGCTTAGTCCTATGTCAAGCCCATATGGAGTTGTCTCACTTGTCTTCTCCGCCTTGCTCTCTCTCTCTCTCTCTCCATCTTTTATTTCTCCATTTCGTTTCTCTGGTTTTCTGTCTTGATCAACGAGTGTACGTAATATACGTATCTAAAATTCATTCTCGTATTTATTCCGTCATTCACTAACGCGAACAAAGTTGAAAATTATGTACGAGGTTACCCTGGTTGTATATTTCGATAATATCATCATATGATTACAAAAGTGGACATTCAGAATAAGACATGGAACTAGACACTGCAAGGCAACGGCTATTTCCCCCCAAAAAAACGAAGTCTGTTAAATATTGTTTAAACCATCCTACCTACTGATTCAAAATCGAGTAGTAAAACGATTTAGTCATCACTTATATTTTCATCATAAGTGTCCTTCAGTGATCATGTTACTTAAATCACAAGTTCTAACTCTTTACTGAGTAGTAGCTTTAAGAAGGGACTATATTATTACTAGTGATTTCATTATACCAAATCACTTTGGATAACTAATTAAGACTAGTCGAACAACTTTTTTAAGCGTTGTGTTATTCACTCTATACTTTTTGAAACTTACCGTTCTCGCCAGAAATCCTTCAGGTCAAAAAATCTGTAATACTCTTCTGGATTGATTTTTTTAATACCTGTCTATAAAAATAGTATTAATAAATATGAAATATCACTTCAATTCTGCTTTGCTTTGTAGAACTACATGAAACGAGGGTTGGAAGCATTGTAACTTCATGCAGTCTTTATGGATAACTAAAGTCGATCACTGCAATAGAGTTACAGTAATAGTTGTGACACATTGTTTTACAAATAGATTACTGTGTTCCTGTTTTTGTGCGATAAGCAAACCTGTACCTTTGACTCACATACATCACTTTTTCCATATTATGTTATTTTTACAGTATAATTTTACCTACCTTCTATTTAAATCACAGTTGCTTTTATAACTGTGAAATAATTACTTAGACGTTGTTTAATTTCCTTGCACATACACTTAAAATCAAATTGTCGAAATTGTGACTAACAATTCCAGTGAAATGTATTGAAAAGTTGTTAAAAGCATAATGACCAATTGCAGTTCCCTTCACATATTAATTTAACTTTAGACCACCCATATTAGTTAAAGAGTATCTGATTAATGAAAGCAAACCATCTAAGATATTTTCAGAAGTTATTACTTTGATTGTTCAATCTTTTTAAGCTTACACGATTTACTTGGAAATCTATTCAACATATTCTTATATCAATCATTATTCTTTTTTATACTACTAATAAATTGGGATCAATATAATACGATATTTCACAAGTTGAAATCATGAGTCGATTGAAGCTAGACCACCATGGAAAACCTGGAAGCACTGGACGGCCGTTTCGTCCTAGTATGGGACTCCTCAGCAGTGCGCATCCACGATCCCGCACCACACGGAGCTCGAACCCAGGACCTACTGGCTTTGCGCGCGAGCACTTAACCACTGAGCCGGCATCCAACGGTGTTAATGTCTAACTTCAACCAATCCACGAAGTCGCGCCACCGTATACCATTGTCTTCAGTGAGTTGTTATCTCACAACAGACCGGTTGAACTCACTAGTGACGGCTTCAGGAAAAACCCTGGAGTTCTAGTGAGAAGCCGTTACTAGTGGAGTTCAACCGGTCTGTTGTGAGATAACAACTCACTGAAGACAATGGTATACGGTGGCGCGACTTCGTGGATTGGTTGAAGTTAGACATTAACACCGTTGGATGCCGGCTCAGTGGTTAAGTGCTCGCGCGCAAAGCCAGTAGGTCCTGGGTTCGAGCTCCGTGTGGTGCGGGATCGTGGATGCGCACTGCTGAGGAGTCCCATACTAGGGCGAAACGGCCGTCCAGTGCTTCCAGGTTTTCCATGGTGGTCTAGCTTCAATCGACTCATGATTTCAACCTGTGAAATTTCTAAAACTCTCCACAAAACCCATTCTGATAATACGATATGTTTTGTATTGAGAATATTGAAGATGTTCAATGTTTTTTTTTAAGGATCAAATAAATTTTGCTTCACTAATAATTTTTTACCGTTTGTGTTCTTTTTTTTTAGGTTGCAAAAGAAATCTGGGTATGTGAGAATGGCACTGTAACTCCTTGGGAAGGTGATATTTTCTCTTATAAAAAACATTTGATGCGAAGTGTTTTAAATGAGTCCCAATAGTTTATAAATATTCTTTTACCAAGATTTATCATTAATATATACATTGGTATATTATGTGTACAGCATTATAAATATTCTCTGTGTCTTAATCCTATCACAGATTTTATTTTGTTTCTTTCCTGGATAAAAATAGCAAATTTTGAGATTCTGTTTAGCGAAACTACATTTTGACTGAGAATTTCTTATGTAACACTGTTATATTGTGTTTATTGTTTAGAAATATAAAGTTTTGGGAGTGACAACTTTTTGACCTTTTTTATTCACAAGTCTATTTATTTTTACGATATGTGTTATAACTTGTGGCCTGTGTGCCCTATTAATGTATAACGTAACGATAACGTCAATTAGAGAGCAGTGAATCATCGATCGGATCAATGATGCTTAAAATCGTACGAGCAGTCTAGAGTACTTATCGGCTCCGCTTCCTGCCTAACCCAGCCAGTTAAGTCCAGAACACCAATCTCAGCCTGTGTGATATGAATCATTTATTTCAAACATACTTGGTTCATATACCAACCAGACAGACCACATCGTACCAATAAAATAGGAAACAACATTTATACAAGATTTGGCCAAATGTGGCTGTGAATGTGTAAGAGGTAGTAATTAATGGACAGGCCATAATTCAAGAATGGTAAATCGTATAATAATAGTCCATAGGTCAAAATAAAGCTCATAATAAGAGGGACACGAATGTGTATAGTTATTTGACAATTATACGATAAAAATATACGCATAGTATTCGTCCATAAATGGATCCCAAAAGTTACCATTCAGTATGCTTATCGGGACATAACGATATGTTGTGCGGATCAAAGACAGTTATAATTAGTGGCAGTTGCCTGTATATTTTAACAATGAATTCCATCGTTAGTTAATAGAAATTGAATAGCACAAATGACATAAACGGAAGCCAACTTGTTTCTGGAATTTCTCTCAGTGCTTGCGCGTTTTTTTGCTCGTGATACAATTTAGTCAACCTAACAGACTGATACGATGGGCGAGGTCTTAATCCAGTGGAGTGTGAGTAACCTACACAATTTACTCCCACGAATTAGTTATGACATTCAATCATTATTTTCTTAGTACTTTATGCACAAGTATGCTAGTGTACTAGAGAAAAATCCGATTCTACGGCTCATATGTCTTCTAACGTCAGTTCAACGTGGGAACTTACGTCAATATTTCGGACTTTTAAGGAGCCACCATTTGGTAACTTCATATCATCTATCGACAAACATTTTCTCTATTTCTAACTAGTGTTAATTCATTTATAAAATCCTACTTCATAAATAGACACTGGGTTTCTTATACAATTATATCAGTGTTCATAATTGTAACTCGTCGATTGGTTGATAAAATCTTGAAATAGATTAACTGAGTCAATTGAAAATTTTGCTAACAATGTTGATATCCAAATTCCAACTGGACGAATTACATAAGACGAACGTCGATTGATTTCGTGACTTTATAAATATTTTGAAATTTGAATGATTTTCTTTTTACGAAATATCCAACCAAAATAGTATAGCTGAAAATTAAGGATGAAATCAAAGGTCACAAAACAACTAATAATTATTCATTTCTCCCTATAGAATTAGTTTTTATTAGAATTATATGAAAATTCTAAATAGAATTCACTGTTGAACCGGATAATCTTAAGTTATTTACGAATTTTCGTTAACCAATTTTCAATCATTGGTATATGTGATTGATTCTCAAGAGGCTGGCTAAACATGTGACAGATCTGTTATCAGATAATGAAGATAACGGAAATATAAACTCTATGGTCGTATATATTACTTATGTTGACAGAAACAAGTAGTATGTAACAACGATCAAAAGTAGAATTCCTGGCAACAAAAGGTTGAGATCAAATTGAAGAGAGCGGGAATGTAAACGGAGAGTAATTGTAATAAGAACGAATGAACGATGGAGTTTAAGACAATGCAAGTGAAGTATTTAATGTATTGTTTTTCATGTTTTACAAAAGAACTCTGTAATTTTGCTTTGAATAAACAAAGTGTTTATCCCCACCTGAATTCTCGTCCACTGCATGACTACTGTGTTTTCTGTTGAACTGATGTAATGACTCATAAAATATAGCTTTTAACTAGTTTAAGTATTTCTACTGAGCTTAGGTAAAGTCGTCAAACTTGGTCTTCCAATCATTTGCGTCGATCCTATTCGGTCAACTACGTAATTATATTGTGTGAAAATCAATTTGGTGATCGTTGCATTACAGTCAAGGAAATGAACGTTTTTTCATGTTTATCAGTTTGAATATAATTAAGAGTGAATATTCAGATAACCAATGAATTAATAAGACCAAATATTTTCAACTATAATTCGTTTGTTCTCCTTTATATTAGTGGTATTGTTTTGCTTGACACTCAAAGATATGTGGCTTCTCTATTTACGTAAACGGTTTTAAATTTATCAATCACTGTGTGGAAATTCATCTTGAATAAACAAATAAATAATCTGATAGAAAAGTACATAATCGTTGTTTTATGATGTACTGCATTTGTATACTTGTAGTGATTTGGCTTCGAGATAATTACTTAGGCTTCGTATATAAATCACCCTGATAACCGTTATTAAGCGACTAACATTTAGGGTAGAGTGAGGATTATGAGCATAAGCTTTCGCAGGTGATCAAGCATGCATTTTCATACAGGCGTGATAGTGGTGATAATAATAATACAAAGTTATAGACAAGTTGTTACTGTTCCAATAACACAAATAAGTTAATTGAAGGACTTGACAAAGTTAACCATAAACAAACTTAATTGTAGGAGAGGTGCTACATACTGACACTACCAAATAAGTCATTCCGTCAAAAGGAAAGTAGACCCTGACACGTACATCGGTTAAGCTCACCACATATCAGCGCAGAAAGATGAAATCATCAAGACAAATACCGGAGTAGTAGAAGCAGTAACAGTTTCAGTGCAACGGGAAAGATTAGGCATAGACGATATGATTAGAGAATAAAGAGAAATTTTCTTTGTCAAATGGTATGTGGATTTCAAGACATTGAACACATCTGTTCCACAACCATCGATTTTAACCTACGTCTCCGATCACTGCTTATGATAGTCATGTGGACCTTAACCAGATGGTGTGAATCTACCTTCACAGTTCAGTCCAACATCTATGGATTGTTCCCACGATTTGGTTTGGGCTGATCAAATCAGTAATGAAGTATTATACCTAAAAAATATTTGTAACATTCATTTTTGATTTCAACTTCTCACTGATTTTCTCATAAAAGAGCTTTAGTCAAGATGTCGTAAAATAACTTCTCTCAAACAACTTTACGTTAATGAAATATTTCTTAAACCTTTGAAAATGCAATAAATCCGCATTTCACCCACAATATAATTACTTCTAATGATTAATGTGAGTAATTTTTTAGAAAAGTAGCATTTGCTGATTTCCTGACGAAATCTCTGAAGTTAAACATTGAGATGAAAGCATTATTTAATAGGTATGTAGTAAAATATCTAAAAAATTTACAAGACGTATTTCATCATGATGTTTCTGTGTAAATCAGTTAACTATGGGGAATCATAAAGCTTTTAACTTCTTAAGGTAGAACTCACATATTCAGTCACCTAATAGAATTACATTTGACTTATAATGGGATACGTTTCAGATTAAGCGTTTCTTCTTTTAAAAAATAATAAAAAACGGTCATTTTACAAATAACCTAATTTTAAGAAGTTATTCTAAGCAGCCGGTAAACAGAAATTCGGATTAAAAAAACTGTAAAAGTAAATTTAGTAAACATAATAGAAAACTGGCTGAACCTATATGGTATAAAAGTTTCGTAGTATAAATATAACGTCACTTCTATGAAAAATATCGTTTTTATTCAATAAATGTAAAATTATGCATAGTAAACAAGGTGATCTCGGTTACTTCTAAGGGTGTGGGGGGGGGTTGCCACTTCTTAGTTGTCTGCATGGAAAACTATATTTCTTGAGAAATCTGAAAAGGAAACTAGATTAGTAGTTGTTGTCTTGGTGAACTGAGGGCGTGACCACAGAGCAAAAAGGACCGTTGCTTGAGATCGGTAATTCTCCGTGTGTTAACCCTGTACTTTAAAGGTTTTACTGCCGGAATTTCTGTTCAAGGTGAATCGTGCTAATTTTAAAATCAACCTCTTCTAACCATCTGTTTCCGCTGTGAGAAGGTAGCATTAATGAAGACGCTGGTTGTCTAAAGTAAACGCCTTACTGCCTTCATAATCCAGTGTAGTCAGTACTACAACTTGACCTTTACACCTTAATCTGTTGTTCATAGTTCTACTGTACCTCAACAAACCTGCTTGGCACTGTTGGACTTAAAGGAACAAATGTTCCAGACAATTTAGCTCGGTTGGGTTATCATGATGGTCTAAGATAACAACTACTGTTAGGAGAGAAGTGTACTCAATTTTGTTGGTAAATCTTTCAGTTATAGACGTTTTTATGATTTTTATCTGTATTTCTGTTAGTCCTTAGTAATTTATTGTATTGGACATTGACTAGTAATAAATCACCTGGTATTACAGTAGCCATTAAATATATTTTACTCAAGATAAAGAAATACATAGATTCATATATACACAGACATGTATAAAAAATAACTGAGGATATTAAAACATTTCACCATCATTATTAGTTCTTAATCTATTCTCAGATTTCAAACGACTGCTATCATTATTGTGTTCCATAGCCGTTCCAGATGATTTCATTGTTACATAAGTGTAATAATGCTGATTAGGATTATTATTATTTGTCACTAAATAATTATTAGGACTTTTGAATCCGACAGATGATTGAAATCGTTGCTGAAATAATCTAGATGATTGTGTTGGTGTACAACAAGAAGCTGAAGTGAATTGAGTAGTAATAGTAGTAGTAGTTATTGTTGTAGAAGCAAACATGTTCGTTGTTACTGTTACTGATGTTGTTGTATTCGATGTTTGTAATGATGAAAAACATGACGTT